TGGGAGGGTTGGCGGAGCTATCGCGGTAGCTCGCGGTAGTTCTTGGAGGGGGGGTTAGCACATATATATACACACACACACACACACTATGTGCAAGTACATACGCCCGCGCACGGATCATGCTCTTCTCCATGCTTGCTCCGGAGCTTTGCTAACAACAGAGATTTCTTAGCTGAAATACTTTTTGGCGACCCAACCTTTCCTGTTGAGAGGTTTGGAGACCCGTCTCTATAGGTCGGAGTTGACGTGGCCCTGCCTCCCCAAACCCCCAACACACCCGCTTGGACACTTGCACTCTCTTTTGGGTCTTGTTTGCGCTACAGCCTTCGGCGTACGATTGCGTGGCCTTCAAGTCTTCAGGCACGGCTTATCAATTCCGATGCTCCGAGCGCCGCATTTCCAAGAAAGGCATTGTTTACACCAAGCTAATTAAGTATAATTACCAAGTGAGGAATAAACTTGTGACCGGTCTACATCAGGCCGAATGCCTGAAGCTCCGGCTTTCAGATCCAACATGCCCTGGCATTGGTCGGAAGGCGGCCGAGGCCTGGGAAGTGCGTTGGACAAGCATCATTGAGGCTGTGGTGGCGTCAGGCGCAGTACCATGTGACGTCAGACCGCAGCCTTGCCCACGATTATAGTATATGAGTATATCACCAGTATAATAGTATTGTTATAGTAGTGTTACAGTATTATTATATATAGTACTATATTACTGAATTTACTGTATTGTTACTGTTACTCTCAGGGTCCAAAGGACCCAATAATCAGGTATTCGGTTTTAGGGTAGTAGTTTTGTAGGTTTCTATTCAGATGAGTATATGATTATTAAGTACTTGGACCCTTAGGGTCACTAAAGTAGTGTACCCACACAGCCGCAACTAAGCCAGGCTCTGGCCTGGACCCTAAACCCTAAACCCTAAACCAAGAAGAAAGCGCATGGCTTGCGGCCAGGCCCTGGCTCGCAGCGGCTGCACGGTCTTAGACATCCTGGCCACGCGCTCTTTCGACTCAGCTGCCTTCAAGGTCTTGCAGGCGACAGACGAATAGACTACTCTAAATCCTAAACCTTAAACCTTAAAACTAGCCTATAAAGTCGCACACAACTGCAGTGTACCATTATGGTATACTGTAACAGTATAGCATAATAATACCATAAGAGTCTACTATAATTTTGTACAATGAATTAATCTGTAGTATATTTTTGATAGTATGGTTTAGGGCCACGGACTAGATCGTGGTCTTGAAAGGGCATGAAGACGCGCAAGTGTAAATTGCCGTGAATGTCCGGAGAGTGCGAATGTTGGGATGTTCCTCATTGTTGGGACCAACCGTCAAGCCCCAACCCTCAGAATATCTCAGAATCTGTCAGACCAAGCTCCAGTGACCATGGGCGTTTTCACCGAAACCAGGCTTGAATCGATCGCAGTACCATTGCCGTTCTTGTTTCTGAGTCCTGAAGCCTAACCCCCTCCCAGCCTGCTCACGCAGTCCGGCTATGTGCTGCAAATCCATTGCGTGGGGGAGCTGGGCTCCGAGCGCGCGGAGGAGGGGCTTTTGGCCTTCAAGAGTAGCATCTGTATAATACGAGAAGCAGTTTCTCATGTTGCCGTTGCTGTAACTGATATAAAGAGACCAGGACATTGGGGTTTGGCACTCTTCTGCATTGTTGAAGAAATGCTAAAGCGCACATGTCTTTATGCATACATGTTCAGTACAGTATAATACAGTATCGTATAGTATAGTATAGTGTAGTATAGTATAGTGTACACGTCTATGTACACACACACACACATGGTATGTGTAGATGCGTTTGTTCATCTGGGGCTAGGGAAGGTTGGAGGCCAAATTGCGGCTGTCAGCCTCGAACCTTGTCTTGCCCTGCCATGCCCGTCCTGCACGAGATAAGAGATGAAAACTCTCTCTTCACGCTTTCTGACCTCTCTTTGTTCTACTATGACACAGAGAACTGTTCATTCAACATGTTGTCAGTTTCAAAAGAGACTCAGGATGCTCCTGGCTCACAAACTAAAAGAGTTCTTTTAGTTCGTGAGCCAGGAGCATCCTTTTATAAACATATGTATGTATATATATATATATGTGTGTGTGTGTATACACATCAGTAGACAGCGCACGCGCCTTCGTTAAATTTATTTAGCCATGGAGCCGTCTTTACTGCCGTTGTGAAGAAAGAATCAGACCCCATACTGTATGTTTTCATTGACGTTCGCGTGATTTTGTCTTGCTTACGTTAGTGATACAAAAGTAACTACGACTATGGTACTAGTATGGCATTGGATAGTTCCCTAAACCCTAAACCCTAAACCCTTTGTTTCTATGGTATGATTAGTTTTGCTGCTCTTTGAGCCAGGTCCTGGCCCGCGGGTTGGCTCACACGCCGGCGCTGCGGGTCCTCGACTTGCGAGAGAACACCATCGGACCCCATGGTGGCCAGGCACGGTTTAGGATTGAGGGCTTAGGGTTCATGGTAGTTTGCGGCAGGTATTGGTAATTTCACGTAGGTATGTGCTGGCTCGAAGGAGCTAGGCTCCAGCCTTTCCATGCCGCAGTCTCAAAGCCCGCGAAAGCCTACGAGATCCGTCGCGTTTTATGTAGGCCGTTGCATTTGCGGAGCGCTTCTTGTATTTTCGAAAAGCAGCTTTGCATTTTTTGCCAGACCAACCTCCAACAGTCACTGTAGTGTCACTGTACTTTTGCGAGTCGCAGTTGCCGTATATGTACGATAAGAAAGCAGCCGAGATGATGGTGAAGATCCCTCAAAAGGATTAACCCTCCCTTCCTCCCATTTCCTCCACCCAGTCGGTGGGAGGTCCTGGCACCAGCACTCTGCCGCCTTCAACATCTCAGAGAGCTGGGGCTTCGTCACAACCTCCTCCGCGACCTTGGAGCCCAGGCAGGGCACGGCTCTTGCTGCTCGGCAGGCATGCTTCCGATTGCTGCAGATGCTCCGAAAGCTCGAAAGCAGGCTGTCGCGGCAGCCTTGGCCGGCAAGACGAGCTTGGAGCACCTTGACTTCGGGCTCAATGTCATCTTCGCCAATGGCATCAAGGTTGGGGGATGGATCAAACAAAAGCTTATGTGCTGCAAGCTACATGTGTCTCAGTATTCTCAATGATGTTACCGGTAGGTCAGATCCTTGGAGGATAGAACCTGCGATGTGTGCGCATTTTTCCGTTGCCTGGCTGGGGCAGGCGCTGGCCATGGCCCTCCGGAACCTTCCCAACCTGTCGCTGGGCTACCACCGAGCTCGGATAAGAAACCATAGGGGTGCCACCGTGCAGCAGGGTTCATCCAGCATCTTTCTCGGCATTGGATGAAGGAAGGACCTCCGCCTCGATTTCAACGAAATGGAGTTTGGCGGCCAAGGTGCCCAAGCGCCTCGCCAGGAATGCTTTATTCGTTATAAATATACTATGAGTGAGATGTATCAGAATTTGACATCAGAGTGTTCTGACCTGCCTCGGACGCTCGTGCACAGAGAGACTTGGCCTTCGGAATTGCTGGTCTCACCACCACCACAAGCTGCCTTTCCCTGGCCAAAGCTGCTACTGTATGTTAGGTGTATCCAGCTAGGCGTGCCCAGGCTTGAGACCAACCTTCGAACGTCCCTCGCGAAATCCTAGCCACCGTGGCGCCCGGATCTCCAAATTGCTCCTCGTGAAATGGAATCCAAGCGGGTTGCCAGAAAAGAACAGATGCTGCATTGGGGCCTCTTGGGCAAATCTCGTTGTCTGCGGGCTTGAAGCATGAACCCCAGTGAACGGGGACAGGCGTTTGGGCAGCGTTGATAAATGGAGTGTGGGGATCCTGAAGCAAACTTGGCAGCATCATGACACCTTGCGGCGGCAGCGTGCTGCGGCAGGCCTAGGCACCCTGCAAACGCACCCTGTTTTCGCCAGATCCAGAAACCAACAACTCAGGCACTTGCCTTCGCCGTCCAGAACCACGCCTCTCTAGAAAGGCTTGATGCGAGGGGCAACCGCCTGGGGGCTGAGGCGGAGAAGGCTGGACGGTAAAGGGTTTTGATGCTCTTTGAGGTTGCTTTAGACAAGGATGTCCGTGGGAAGTCTGCAAACCATGGTGCCAGCAGCCAGCCTTTGATTTATGGGGTGTTTGGCTGCTGGAGCTCTAAAGCACACGAGGAAGAATAGTGCACAAGTTCAAGCTCACCAAGCACGCCCTCGTAAATCTTAAACAGTAAACGTATGCAATGAACATGTGTGTGACATGTTATGGAAGACGAGTACAATGTGAGTTGCTGTACTAGAGCATTAACGTCCAGTCCTGGAACAGAAACTGTTGAAGATGAAGTAGACAGCCTTGTTTAGAGGTGCAGTGGCCAGGGGCTATCTGAAAGACGTGTCTTGATGACGTCCAAGCATCCACGGCACATGTTGGGTTCGAGGGTCAGAAATGACCCGCTTAAAGCTATGATACTCACAGATAATCATCATGAGATCCTATGCCAATGCACAATCATAGGGATGCCTGGTAGTCCCATTTTGGGCCGCCGGCTTGCTGAAGCACTAGCCAGAAAGACCGGAGCTTGCTGAAAGCTGAAATGTGAAAGTGTGATTGTGTATGTCACATGCTGCTGAGGAAGCGTGTTGCCTTTGTACATGCTCTAGGGCATGCGGCTCAGTCCAAAAGCATAAAAATGTCAGACAGATCCTAATTGAAGCCTCTTCCAAAACCCAAACCCTAAACCCCTAAAACCCTAGACCTTAAACCCTAACGTTGAGACTGGAACCTACTCGGAATGATTGAAAGAGCTCCAACCCAGAAAAATTCCCGATGTGGGGTTTAGGATTATAACCCTAAACCACCCTCAACCCATACAACTGTTATAGTATCATCTAGTATTTCTTTCTTATAGTCATTATATATATATATATATGCGCTACTATAGTATGAGCCCCAAACCCTACCCCAAGTCTGCAGATCCAGTGT